CTGGAAATCTTTTTGAACCTCACAAAGCCCTAAATATGCCTTACCTCGACATCCAGCTTTTAAAAAATGTACAATATAAAAAAGAAATCCTCTACCTTAAAAATGAACTCACCTATAACAATAAAGAAATCTTGACTGAAAACAAATGTATCATAGGAAGTCACATCTGTGGGCTGCCATTCAATACACCTCTCTATAACAGAATACTCTTACTAGTAATTTCTAGGCTGTGCATCAAGTATCTTAACATTCCAACAAAACCTTAAGTAATAAAAATTACTTAAGCAATAGATATCACCAAGTATAAACTACAAACAAAAACAAACAGAACTTCAAAATTCTCCATAAGTTTCAAAAGAAGTTTCAGTATTATCTAATAATTCTAGAACACAAAAATATGTTAATACAGAAGTTTATACTTCACAGCTCTCTCTGAACAGTGCAGGTACCTGCTACAAACTGACATCCCAGCCTCTCTGGTGGCGCAGGGGTCGAAGCGCAGCACTATGAACCTGTCGCAGCCACTGCAGCACAAGTTCGATCCCTGGCCAGGGAGGGACCCACTGAGTGTGGCAGACCTCTCCTGTTTCCCTGCTGCTCCCCTCAGCAGTGTACTTTGTCAGTCTGCCTGTTCTGTTCTCCACTGTTTCAGGTGAAGCCTCTCACCGGCCCTGCACCTCTGGCCTGTACCCCAATTCTGTATGCATAAATAAATATTCAAAAAAAAACTGACGTCCCAACATGAAGTCTTCTAATTCTATATGGCTTTCTAATTCTCAGTGCTGCTAAATATTGTAAAAAAGTTCCCAGAAGCTAGAATTTATAAAAGCAATCAATGAAATTAAGAAAGCCATGAGTTTTTCTACAAACCAGCCTCTCACTTGCTTTTACCATTACCCCAGACATTCCTCCAAACCCCTTAATGCTGCTTCCAAATAAAAAGGACAAGGATTGCTCTGAATTAAGAACTTTTGTTAAAGCACTTTACTAGAAAGTTCCCACATGGATGCTTGGTGAGACCTATGTGTGTCATCACCAAAAGATACACTTACAATTTAACCCTTCAGGAAACTGAAAATGTCATGCTTCATATAGAAAATTATTTTAGATACAGGAAAAAAGTCAAGAAGTTTCTATGGGTTCTGCCTAGAATAACCACTACTCCTTCTTCAGAGAAGACTTGCCCCACTCCCTTAGGAGGGGGCCTTTCAGCTTGATGTGTACACACTTCCAGATCTCAACACTGTAGCCACATTACTTGAACCAAAGATGGAAAACCTGACAAGAGCTCAATCAAATTTTTCCTTCTAGAATATGAAACTGAGTTAGTTACAGTGGGCAGCAATCAATTGGCAAGGCACTCAAGTTTATTCATCGGTGATTCTAGAAGTGAAGTGGCCATTTTCTTCCATGCACTACAACAGGTAAGGCCAAACTGTGAAAGACAACTAAAGCAAGATGAAAAGAAACAAGCAGACACCATCTGGCCAGTGAGGAGAAAAGTACTATCTGCACTACCTTAGCTCCTGAATGCTCCCCAGTTTCTGATTCATGTCCTCCATGAAACCAACTACTTTGAATATTTAAAGATACCTCCTTAATTATGTAATGTAACGGGGTGCTAAATATTGCTACAATGGTAATCACAGAATATAGAAATATGTCAAACTAACACTTAGTATACCTTAAATTTACATTTTTATATGTCACACACATTCATTTAAAAAAAAAATCAAATAACAATTTGAAAAGGCACTTCCTTAGTTCGCCCTTGGCCCCAAAGTAACCCCCCATCCTGTTTCATGTCATCAAAAAATCATTATGACAGTTTAAGACACAAACTCATGCCAAGATCAATGCAGAAAGAGTCTGATTATTCTTAGGGCTCATAAAGGATCTAAAGGTACCAGAAGATGATTTAATAAAATGTCTATAATCTCAGAAGAAATAATGGACAAAAGAACTGATATTTTTAAAGTAAAAACCATACGTTTGTATAAACCCTCAGTTCTGAGCTTCCCTTCAACACTTACCTGTTCAAAAGTTCTGCTAGTTCACAGCAGGAGGTTTCAACAGACTTTTTCAGGTTCTTTTAACACTGTAAATAACACAAGTATTAAAGTAAATGACCTAGCAATCTCTTGGGAAGCTTTCAAAACATAGTTTTTTGTCATAAATATATTTTACAGAACATGAATTCTAAACCTGGTTTCAACAGCAGAATCACCTGGTGTGCTTAAACTAGATTCCCTGTCCTAACAGCAAGAGTCTCCCATGGTAGCTCTAAAGAGAGGTCAACATACATCTATTTTTTAAAAGTCTCAGTGATTCTGAGGAAGGTAACAAGCAACACTAGAGGGTTTCAGGAAAGCGATTATCTGAGGGTTTCATTCAAGACACAGGGATTTAGTATTAACATTTTACATATGTGTGACAGGAAAAAAAAATTAAGGCCAGTAACACAGTAAGTTCTTATCGTATCACCAATGAGTCCCAGTAAGACCACTGCCAAAATGCCCAATGAGCAAAACACCAGGCTGCAAAATCACAACCTTCTTTTAATGCTGTATTTAGACATCTTTAGAAAAAAAACACAAGATGTTATATTTAAAGTGAAAAGAAATGGACATACAAAAGACTAAAGTGCTTTAAGCTAAAATCAAATAAAGGGCAAAAAAACAGTAATTCAAAATTTGCTGTCACTAAATTTTTTACTAACAGTGAAAAAAACAATTTGAGAAAGTTGTTTCCACCTCATTTAATTGTGAAAACTAGTTGTTGTAACGTCCCAAAGGTCATCCAACTTTACCCATAGTACTCTGCTTTTTATAAGGACATTAGAGAAAGAAGGAAGAAACAGACAATAAAACAAAGTCTTCTCTCAGTCTAACTCAAGAGACAGGCTCTAGAGTATCTCCTATTATATAAAAGTTCAATTTCAACGAAACCCTTCAGTTAACAAGAAGATGTAAAATTACATTCCTTAATTAATCAAGTAGAGAAGTACGTGATACTTCGAAAATATATTTACATAATCAGGGCTAGCCACTTAAGGAAAGGTTCTTTTGTTTTTCAAACCTCTTCCCCATTCTCCCTCAACCTCACACAAAATTATGGGCATGTAAATAAAGAAATCATTTTGCATTCCTGTAATAATTAATCTACCATTTTTCAGTCACCTAAGAACATTTAAAAATAGGAGGGAAAAGTTCTAATCTGGTCAAGAAATTAGGATTCTAATTTGTAAGTGAGCTTGCCAATGGAGTAAAACTCTACTTATATTTTTAAAGATATGTAAAATTCTTCAAGGCATTAAAAATGAACAGAAAACTTAGGACTTGGTCACCATAAAGAGTGGGGAATCTAAAGGGAAAAAATCCTAAATTCAGAGTTTTGTAATGACCAAAGAATGTTAAGGCAAGAAACCTGGATTAACACAAACAGGCTGTTGGCTCAACACAGGGAGACAGATCCGCAGATGACTGAGAATTTAAGTCAGCAGGCGCTAGTGGAGAAATACACAGGAAGTCAGTCTCTGAAAAAGGCACAAATCAAAGACCCTAGGCAGAGCAAAAAGAGGCAACAATAACCTTTCCATCCAAAAACGTTCTTCGAGATGATCATCACAATCAATCGAGAGTCACCTTCCAGGGTTTAGGTCAATACAAAGAGAAAAGACATGGAGGCAGGAGAACAAATGAGCTGATGTGACATCAAAAATATTACAATTTGGCAATGACAGAACGAGACAGAGAGAGAGAGAGAAACAGAGAGACAGAGAGAGAGAGAGAGAGACACCATTCGTCAACACTACCTCATCACTCATTCATCACTGTCTCCTTGGAGCCAAGGAGCTCCTTTCACAGCCTGAAATTTAATTCCTGTCTTCTCATTATTTTCAGGCAAGTCTAAGACAAATTATTTTTCATATGTAACTCACCAGTAAAAACATTTCAAAGAAAAAATACTGAATTTCTCAGGTGAGCTGGAAAGAGGACATTGATAAAAGGTCAGTAAAAGATTATGAAGCTAGCTAGAAGGAAATATCAGTATTTTCTTCCACATAAAAGTCTACTGTATCAAACTGGAGAAAAGTAAAAGTGGAAAAATTTAAATCTCAGCACAAAAAAAAGTCTACACATGTAAAATGCTAAAAAGGATATATAAACAAACTAGTGGAGTCCCTGAGGAACTAAACACTACGATGGAAAGGAGAGAGATAATTAGGAGGAATTCTTTACTACCAGATTAAGAAGGACATTGTGAATTAATAACAGATTCCACCTTTCATCTGAGTTACATTCCTTAATAACCTGTCTAAACTTCAAAGGAAACTCATTTGTTTATATTTTCAAATATCAACCTCACTTAAAAAGTTTTGTTTTTGAGAAAGGTATTTCACTGCATTTCCTGAAACATGTTATACAAGCATCCTGAATTTTTCCAAAATGTTTGGAAGATCATGTCGGGGGCGGGGGCGGGGATGGGGGGTTGCCAAGGGGTTTGGACTAGAGGCCCAAATTTTCAGAATCTGGTTTCCCCAAGAGTCACAAGAGATATGGGAAAAGATCCAGAACCCTAAATAAGCCTTCTCATCTTGGTACCAATGAAATGGGTAGACATCTCCTACAAGCCTCCCTCTGGCTGGTGCCTGTGACCACACCTGATCTGCCCCCACCTCAGTTTCTGCCTCAGTTGTTGCCTTGCTTCCTTGGCCTAGAACATTCCTCTTCCTTATAGCTACAGGAATAGCTAGCTCCTTTACCTATGTAAGGTCTTTCCTCAAATATCAGCTTTTCCATGAGGCTTTCCCAGGGCACACTGGTTAAAATTAGCCCCTTCTCCAACTCCCTGTTATCCTATTTCCCTCTCATTATTTTTCTACATCACTTACCATTACAATACGTATTTCACCTAAGTTTCAATTTGAAACAAATTAGAAATAAGCTCCACGGAGACAGGAATGTTTGGTTTTTGTTCCCAGCACCCAACAGTGTGGTAGGCTCTCAGTATTTGTCAAGTAAATGAATGCATGGATGGATGGCTGGGGGCTAGATGGAGGATGGGTGCGCAGATGGATGGATGCCGTGGTCCCCTCTCCTGCCTCAGTGTCAAAATTCTAAAACATTTTGTCAACTATGAAAGGAGTGTAAGGCACATTCTTTCCTAGTGAATCACAATCACCACCGGTGCATTCTTCAGTGTTAGATGTCAAAGGAAGGCTCATGTGGCATTTCTCCAGATAGATGCCACTTTCAATTTTTTTCTAGCTTCCTCCGCTGATATGTCAACATCAAATGTAACAGAAAAGTATATATCGCAGCTTAAGCACTCTGAAAGCTACTACCTAATAGCAGAACATAAAAAAACATCAATGAATGAGCGAATGCTTTTGTGTTCTAACCAAGATGGGTAAACACTCAGATCAGAGTAGCAAATATTTGAGGGCTGAAAGTTAATGTATAGAAAAGATGACCAGAAAAATGTTTTTTTACTCTAGGAAGTCATTAGTCCAAAAAGGAACTACTATAGGCGAATACCTCCCCAGCGCACAGACGCTGGGGCGCAAAGCTGCCGAGAACCCAGTGTACAGAGCACTGGACAAGAAGCTGTTCGTGTGTTCTGGGCCCCGTCTCCATCTCTTGCACGTTACACTGGCATACTTACCCTTCTTACAGAGATTAAGTGTGTGTTAAGTGCTTTGACTTTCCGGGAAAGAAATTAAAAAAAAAAAAAAAAAAGACAGTGCTACATAAATGCAAACGTTACTGCTTCCCAAACACCGCCAGACGACTTGACTCGCACACCCTGCTCCCTGTCGCCTGATTTACGTTTGAGTCACAACACTTTCAAGTATTCCGAGTGCTTCGTGGGAAACTGATGACACGTAAGGCTAATGCCCATTTCAACCTGATGCGACTGTTCGGATCCCAAAGCTGCTCTTTCCCGACCTCCAGGTTCCGATCATGGTTCCACCGTGCCTGGGGCCTGGTCCAGACCCAGTCCTCTGGCCACGAAGGGTCTCCCCAGTGCGGATGCTCGGCGAGGAAGGCAGGGGCGCACCTCCCAGAGGCCAGGTGTGGGAGCAGGGCCGGCAGAAGCAGCTGTCGGGCTGCGGCAGCTGTTACCCGGGCACGCAGGCCGGGCGGGTGGGCGACTGGCCGGCCCGAGCAGCAGGTAGCGGGGGCGAACCCGCCGGCCCCCGACGAGCCGGCCTGACACTGCCCACCCACCACCCCTTCCCAGCCTCGGTGGCCCCCGCCGGAGCCCGGGGCCCTGCAGGAGGGAGCTCCCCGCCTCCGCGGCCGGGACGTGGCAGGGCCAGGCGTGCCCCCCGCCGACCAGGAGATTCCCTGCGGCCCCACACCTGACCTGTCCCCTCGCCTGACGCCGGAGACGGCCGCAGTGGCGGCCGGGGCGGCCTGTGGTGTCCATGCGGCTGGGCCGGGGCGGGCCGCAGCGACGGGGACACCAGGGAGGGCGGGAGCTCCGGGAGGCCCGGGGGGAGGGCGGCGGGCCCGGGGAGCGGAGCGCAGCCCCGCAGGGGAACGAGACGGAGGCGCTGGTTACCTGCGGTCCGGGACAGGGAGTCTCTCAGACACCAAGTCAGTCCTCTGCCTCAACAACACAAGATGGCCGACACGTCGCCACGCACGTCACGTGACCGCGCTCCGGCTGCGCCACGCCCCCCGCTCAGCCCCCGCCCCACCTCGCTCCTCTCCGGGCGCCTCCGGCCGCCCACGCCATCCTTCCTCTCCGCGGCCTCCGGCCCGC